AGCGCAAGGTCTCTAACATCCACCAGCTCCGTGATGTCGTCATGGAGGAGTGGAAGAGGACTCCAGTGGCAACCTGTGAAGCTCTGGTGAACTCCATGCCCAAGAGGGTTAAGGCAGTGCTGGAAAGTAATGGTGGGCGCACAAAATATTGACACGTTGGGCCCAATTTGGACATTTGCACTTAGTGGTGTACTGACTTTTGTGGCCAGCGGTTTAGACATTAATGGCTGTGTGTTGAGTTATTTTGAGGGGACAGCAAATTTACACTGTTATACAAGCTGTACACTCACTACTTTACATTGTAGCAAAGTGTCATTTCTTCAGTGTTGTCACATGAAAATATATAATAAAATATTTACAAAAATGTGAGGGGTGTACTCACTTCTGTGAGATACTGTGTATATATATGTGTGTGTGTGTGTGTGTATATATAATATATATATATATACACACACACATTATATGCTTGAGTGCCTTAATTAGTGTCCGTGTGACGGTTCTTGCATGTCATATTAGCGTTTCATTTCTTTTATCTAACGGAGTTATTTGTTGAGGCCATTCTGCACAGACTTAATAACACACAAGGGAGATGTAAACATGATTGTCTTCCTCTCCTCTGATGCAGATCTACTATACTGGAAAGTATCAGAGCCTCGGTATCAAGCAGGGTGGCCCGTCGGCTGGGAAGTGGGTGGAGCTGCCAGTAACGAAATCACCTAAGATTGTGCAGTTCTCAGTGGGCCATGATGGCTCCCACGCCCTGCTGGTGGCGGAGGATGGGAGCGTCTTCTTCACGGGCTCCGCCAGCAAAGGGGAGGACGGAGAGTCAAGTATGACGGAAATTATTATCATGTACATACTTGATCTGCGATAATGATGTTTTAGCACATAGATCAACCGCTTGTGATGGTGTCTGTTTTTAGCAAAGAGCAGGAGACAACCAAAGCCCTACAAACCCAAGAAGATGATCAAACTCGAGACCAAGACGGCCATCTACACGGCCTGCAACAATGGCAGTAGCAGCATTGTCACTAAAGATGGAGAGCTCTACATGTTTGGCAAGGATGCCATTTACAGTGACAGTACCTGTAAGTGCCACCTGCCAGATGCCCGTTAAAGATGGCAGGGATGAAATGATGGCCTGTCATAATGCTGTCTGTAAGACTGTATATCTGTCTCCTGTGGGAGAGATTATTTAGAGCCAGTACATGCTCCACATTCACAAAAAGGAGGATATATTTAGAAAACACCATATTTGGATGTACAGACTTAGTACATGTTTTTTTTTTTTCTTAAAATGGGTTCCCTGCTAGCTTAACTTTGCTGATATAGCAAATATTCCTGCAGTTCATGCTCTACATACGGGATACTCAGTTTGCAGTTCATTGAGTCATATTTTTTAATAAAGAACAGTTTTAGGATATGAAACCTCTTGCTGCATATTCATATTCATATGCATATTGAGACGTCAAGCTGTGTGTTTGCAACTTTAGGTTACATCCACACAAAGCCAGAGCTTTCCCTTTCCGATCTTTTTTTTTCCCCTCGTCTCAAGAAATATCTGCATACACGCGAATCCATGAAACCGACACAAAACGATGTAGTATACATGCCAGACCAGTATATGGCGCTGTAATTCTGCCACAGAGATACACTAAAAATGGAGAAGACTTGGACTATGCGCATAAACCTTGCGCGCGGTATACAAACGAACATGGAACAATACATTTATTAATCTGTGTTAATGTTAGTTAATAAAAAGACAATCGTTCAGTGTTTGGTCATGTTGTTGTTGCTGTTACGTGACGTAGCGGTGTCTGACTAGGGGCGAGACGTGGGCTAATGACATCATCGTTTCACAAAATATATGGATTCGCTGTCCACACGAAAACGCAAGGGTGGCGTTTTCAGATTTATCCACTCTGGGACCTGGTTTCAAAAAGTAGCGGTTTCACGCTCCCAAAACGCCAGATCCATCTGGACAAAACACCAATCCGATAGGAAATTTTTGTGTATACAGCTAAACGTGTCTCCGTGTGGACGGGGCCTTAGAGAGCCCATAAAATCTGTTTTATTTTTTCCAGATTCCATTGTTAATAGTGATTAAATTAAAATTGTAATTTAAAAAAGCTTAGTAACTGAAATCATGAAACTTACATACAATTTAACATCAATACATGTTTAAGCCTTATGAAATCAGTTGTATTTTCCCCCAAATTAGGGGTGGGCGATATGGCAAAAATATCATATCACGATTTATTTTTATTTTTTTTATCACGATTCACGATTTTATCGCGATTCTTTGTCATGTTGGTTTTACTATTTTGCAAGTTGTCTGAGCCAAACTAATTTCCTGTTATAATTGACTAATTTCCCTATCCCTTTAATGATAGTTGGCAGCATTTAGTTCTGTCCCTTTAAGAGCTGCACGCATCTAATATACAGGCACGCATCCGTTTTTCTCTCAACTGTTTTTCATTTTAGACATAAGCAACTTAGTCTATATGTAAACCTTACATATTAGACTAAAATGCCGGCAGTTCTGACTCACGTAAGTACGTTTTCATTTAAAGGATTTGCCACTGATGATTCAAACGCGAGTTTTGGGCA